CTTGGCGGTCTTTTCCCGTCGCATCAAAGGGACGACTCGGGTTGCAGTGGTGCCAGTCTGGACCTGTAGGCGGCTGCATCGCGCTTTGCTTATCAGCTCCAGACAGTTGGAGTGTAGTCATCACCAGTGTGCGTTCTTCTGTTTGTGATTCTCTGTTTATATACTCTGAATGGAGTGGAGTGGAGATACGCAACAAGTCTGGACGCAAAATTTTGTCGCGTTGCATCGGACAATACGCAACGGAGATACAATACAAGGATACGCAACAAGTCTGGACCCGGCTTAAGACTATCATGAAAGCCACAGACCTTATGAAATGTGAATGTAATATTTTCTGCTGTATATATAATGAACATAACATTTTTCGCTGTATAATTTTGTAAATTCTTTTAGTCAGCTTCTGTCCTAGTCAGGTATGTGACAAACAATCTATATCTCCCGCATTTTTGTCCTAGTAACCCAATTAAAAACATGTTTGAGAAATTTAATTGCTATAAGAATGGCAGTTAGAATGTACATTAACTTCATTTCAATCTCTATGAAGTTTAGTGTAAATGTAGATGTATTCATCAAATATCCGAGCTATCACAGAATAACACATGAATGCACTGTTTGATATGAAGTATGATAATACTGATGCAGTGAACCAAATCCTGCCTCAGCATAAATTCATTTAGGACTTTTATTGTTTTAATTTTCAATGTGAAACCAACATTTCTGTTAATTCTACATGATCAAACGAGACCCAAAATTATCACAGAAGTGGCTAAGATGATTAGTGTCTTCCAAGATGTGATACACAGTAGTGACAAAATTTGTGAAAATTTACCAGCTTGCAACATGTCACACCCCAGAAAACGGTAACCTTCAGTTCTCAATGATCTTGTTTGTACTTCTACTTTGCGAAAACCATGAATTTATGCACAAACATTATGTATACAGCAGAATGTGTGTGGCAGGCCATAAGAATTTTGGGTGTAAAGAACTGGAGGAATGTAGCATCGAATAGAGAAGAATGGCGAGCAATCCTGAGGAAGGCCAGGGCTCACAAAGGGCTGTCCTGCCAGTGATGATGATTATGTACACAGCAGCAAACAGAAATTCAAATACAGCCATCATAAAATTAACTTACATTCTTCCTCTCTTCAACTTCATACTTATCATGATAAAAGAAACAATATTTTCATAGTAAAGCTATTTTTCCATATGCACAAACACCTGGCCACAGGGAATTTTAAAGGCATGAAGTTAAAGCTATATAAAGGTAAATTTTTCCTTGTGCTTAATCAATTAAGCACTATGCCATGAAGAAATACTGGGAAGTGGAGGTATAGCTGCAGCATTCTTGACCTCAACATTAGATGGTGGTGAGCAATCATCTTCGCAACCTGACCAGTTTACTTCCAGGAAAAGGGCTACCAATATTAATTTGACATGAGCCTGGGTTGGGCCCCAGAGCCAGTCTGAACACCATGGAGAACAATAAATCTTGCCATGTTGAGAACTGAATCCTGTCCATCCAAACCGTAGCTGTCATACCGAGCCAGCTATCCCACTTCGAAGCTATATGCATTATGAAATATCAAACGGTAGTTTATTTCCTATGAATCAGAATTCTCTCTTGAAAGCTGCTACCTAAACAGGCAGATATTACAACGCAAATTTATAGCAACTATAAAATTGTAGCAAGGAAGGTCTAGTGAGAAATTTGACAAATATATGAGGGTAATTCCAAAAGTAAGGTCTCCTATGTTTGAAAATATAAAATAAACATTTATTTTCAATTTTGGATACATCAGTTGAATCTTGAACATGTACTCATTTCTCTACATAATCGCCATTTCGGTCGATGCATTTTTGTAGGCGCAGTGGCAGTTTTTGTATGCCCATGTCATACCAGTTCACCTCCATGCTGTTCAGGAAACTTCGAACCTCAGCTTTCACCTCATCGTCGTTGTTGAAGCGCTTTCCAGACAAATGTTCTTTCAACTTTGGAAAGAGATGGTAGTCACTGGGCGCCAAGTCCGGACTATAGGGTGGATGGGTGATGATGTTCCATCCAAACTGTTGCAGTTGAGCGACGGTTTGTCGGGCAGCATGGGGGCGAGCGTTATCGTGGAGAATGCTTACGCCCTTGCTCAACATCCCTCTTCTCCGGTTCTGAATCGCCCGCCTGAGTTTTCTCAGTGTCTCACAATATCTCTCAGCGTTTATTGTGGTCCCAGTTTCCATAAAGTCAACCAACAATACCCCGTTTCGATCCCAAAACACAGTTGCCATGACTTTACCGGCAGACTGTGTTTGCTTGAATTTTCGAGGCTTAGGCGAAGAGGAATGCCGCCACTGACGTGATTGTTGTTTTGTCTCAGGTGTGAAGTGGTACGCCCAGGTTTCGTCGCCTGTGACAATTGAATTCAAGAAGTTGTCCTTTTTGTCAGCATAGCGGCGAAGAAATTCACGGGAAGAGTCAACTCTCTGCCGTTTGTGGTCTTCCGTGAGCATTCGCAGGACCCATCTTGCGCACACCTTCCGATAATTCAACTTCTCTGTCAAAACCCGATAAATGGTGGTTCGGGAAACCTCGGGAACCGAAATGCAGAGATCATCGAGTGTGATGCGCCTATCCTGACGCATGACTCGCTCAATTTTGGTGACTGTCTCGTCGGAAACTGACGGTCTCGCAGTTCTTTTTTCGTCGTGTATTGCAGTACGACCAGATTCAAACTCCCTACACCACTTGCGGACGTTCTTTATGTCCATGCACGACTCGCCATACACTTCCACCAATTGACGATGAATTTCAATTGGTTTAGTCCCTTTTGCGTTCAAAAACCGAATAACTGCGCAAATCTCACACTTCGCGGTTTTAGTAATCGGGAGCTCCATTTCTAACGGCAACCGTACCAAGACTGAGCGTCCTATCTACGTGCGCGCATGCTTGGTGGTATTGGGGGGAGTGGGGGAAGCAACGAATGCAACAGGGTTGCCAACAGCCGCACGAAAAATTACCCAGCGCTTTGGAGACCTTACTTTTGGAATCAGCTACGTAAAAACCTAAAGAGAATGATACAAAGTTAAACACCTTCCCCAGAAGTTCAATGAAACAAATAAACAGCAGAACAATGACTATCCAAATTAATAACAAAGGTGGTTCACATAATCAAAAATTTGGATAACTAGATTTAATTCTTATCCATAAAAACACTACTACAATGTACTGTATTATTATAACAATACAAACTAAAAAACTTTAAAACATGTAAAACATAAAAAAATAATAAATGTAAACATAAATTAACATTTTTAGACACTTTATTTGAAGAAATTCAACAATGGCATTTGTTTAGGAGACACATTCCATGGTTGCGGTGATTTGGTTAATTGGAAATTTGAATAATCGGCGTTCAGATAATCAGTGTTCTACTGTACATCTGATTGACTTAAACTGAGAAACCAATATGACCACTGTGCAGGAAAAAAAACTACTACTTTCCTATGCATATTTCTTGATCTCTGTTTTGTGTTAGTTTAAATATCAGAGATCCTTCCACTACAAACCATATAACTGGAACTGCTCATTGCACACCTGCTAAAAAAACTAAAGATATATGCTAACAGTGTCTCATGTGTGCAATACAGACTTTGTCCATCCATCAGTTATCTACATGGAAAGAACAGCTATGTTCCCAAGAATGATAAAATTCCAACAGACATGTTAAATATAACCCTTCTTTCTGCTAATCTCATTGACTTGAGGCTGAACATAAGCTAAAGGGCACCCATGACTGGCCAAACACCCCAACTGAGCTCCTCTTGAAGTATGAACATAAGGAGTACCATGGTCAGCCACATTCCTTTACCAAGCTTCTCTTGAAAGCTAGCATCATGATCAGCAGCCCTTAACAACACATTCAGGATATTCTGAGTAAAATGTACAGAGCAGGATTTAGAGCGAAATCCCACTTAAAAACATGTCTGAGACAATATAACAAATCTCAGTACCACAAGATGCCATGCCTTCCTGCACCAATCAAAGGGCTGTCAAGATTTTCATTTCACAGGATCCCATCACAGACAGAACATGGCATCTTTACAATTGCCACTATACAGTATTCACACAGTCACATCCCAACAAACAGAACTACTATTACTATATTGTTGTTTGTTGCTACTCAACAGCAAAACCACATGTCTCTTCAACAGCCTGGGTGAGTTTTTCATACATTTTCTGATAGCTCTGATATGGAGGGATGTCAATGCGGTTGAAGCATGTATGTGCCTTGGGAAGGTTTTCCATTGGTGCATCCACTACATGAATTGTAAACAAACGAGGACCGGCTGCGCCTGTTGAACCTGTAGCCAATAACAGATCCTGTAATATATTTACTCTACTAACTAGTGTACAGAAAAGTCCTGTATAAATGCCTTTGAACTTCTCAATGGCATATGTACAGTGGGATTATGTTGAAAATACAATCTAATAACTTTTTATGAATTACATAACAGCCTACATCACTAATGTTCATGCACCCTTGTTCCTGTAGTATATGGAGTATACCATAATTTTGTCGTTAAGTACACATACCCTGCAGGGCTTTGAATCCTTGAAGAGGCACACGAGAGCTTCCGGTTACAAACTGAAGAAGTCTTGCTCTCATCTCCTCTCCATATTCTTCAACTATTTTCCAGAACCATCGCACCACAGGTGTTTCAGGAGTGCAGTGCTAGAACATGAATACACATATGTTCTAGTTCTTCAACAGGTAAAAATTTGGCACAATACACTAACACAAAAATTATATTACACTGAAATCTCCACTCAATGTTTCCATGACAGACAATACAGTTCAATGAAATTCTGAAAAAAAAACATAATAAATTACAAGCATCAGCATATGGGCTGTAGCAGCTTGATTAGTTGTGACTGATCACAAACATTACAGCAAGAATTCAGTCTTTAAACTATGTACAATAAAATTCCTTTTGAATGAAGAATTCTGATCCAGGGAAAGATTGTCTATGAAATATATTTCTATCACTATCTTTCAACATCATATACTGACTGGAATAATATTTTAATATGTAGACCCACTGCTGGGCAATGACTGTGATAAGAGCGAATATACAGGAGCCACTTCTGAGAAACAGCTTCAAAAAAAAAAAAACCGCTGCTGGGCAATTATTGCAAGATAAGTATACATACAAGGACCACTGCTGAGCAACGGCTTTGCATGTTTCCACGGAAATGACTTAACTACAGCAATGAGATGCAGTGTTTTCTGTGCAGACTGTGCTGTTATAACGATGACAGTCAGTTTAGAGATGACAGTTGGGAGCTGCAGTTAATCAGTGAAGAAAAGAGTAAGAAGTTGCTATGAGATGGTCACCAGCCTGGGAGTTAGATAGAGCAATGAGTCAGTTGTGGGATATTTGCCAACTGGTAAGGACGTTAGCAGAGGATATTACTAGGATCCACTGCCAGGAAATAACTAGTTAAGACATAGAAGACTTTATATACACTGCAGTTAAATAATCTTTAGAGTGTGTAAACTAGTGAGGCTGTTATAGTTACCTGTAGATATGAGTTGTGTGTATATGTGTTCAATACATCCAATCACCAATCCAAACCCCGCCCACAGTCACTCATATACGAGAAAAATATATACTTTTCTTCCTCATACAGTAAAACTTGGTTATAGCAACATCGGTTTCTGCAACACCTTGTCTATTGCGTCAAATATTCAATGGTACGAACTAATTCCACATAAAGCTACTGTTTTTATACCTTGCTTAGTACGACACGCACAAATGCATCAACCTCGTATGTAACGTCATTTTCATTCCTGAATTTCTCTGATATCATGGGAAAGTTCGATGTGTCTGACCACCCTCACTTTCTTTACTTGCTGACGTGACTGTCCTGGAAGAATACGACCGCGGG